GGACTGAGGCTGCTGTTGTCTTTTTCTCTGATCAAAACAGTGTCCCCTTGCGGATACTCAATGAATTGCACCTTATTAAAAATATTTATTCTGTGTCTTTTATGCATTTTCTTCACTTTTAAATTATCCTGTGGGGCCTGATTGAACGGCCCGCGGACCGTATGTTTGACACCACTGCTTTACATAATCATCTCGCGGGCCGGATTAAAGTCCTTTGCGGGCCGGATCCGGCCCGCGGGCCGTACGTTTGACACCCCTGTAATAGACAGAACGGTACCCTCAGTCCAAGAGTACATTGCCCAGTGTAAGAGGGTTTGATGAAACACCCATCAGGCTCTGGAAAGCACCCAATGGTCTGTCCAATGATCACGGGCTGCAACAAAACATTTAAATGCATGTGCATTTTGCTTGAATTTTTAAGTGGAACTAAAATTTGGGTTTACAGTGTGCAGTATTCTGTTGCACTTCAACACAAGCACTTCGGCTGCCAAGAGAAATGTGTAAATGTATTGTGAGGGCTAATTATGTGTTCTACAAAAAAATAGGAAGCTCAAATGAGCAACAACGCTGAAGTAGGCTCCACCGTCGCACTCCCATCTATTACCATAACTCTGCTTTCTATCATAAAAGACAAGAACTGCACAGTCTGGCCTTTCGATGTCCATTTTTTCCCCCACGGTTTTACATTTGATGCGGATTCCCTCATTGTCTGCAGTTTAATAAACACCGATTTTAACTTGCTCCCATTTCCACTAAATCAAAAAGGTACCACACACATCGCGTCGTTTGAACAAAGACAACGTTGCCTTAGATCAGCAAAGTCTCTGGATCAGTTCTAAAGAATGGAACGAAAAAGCCAGTGCTGTGGGAATGAATCCAAAAGAATCAAAAGTCGTGTCTCTTACATATAATAAGTAGCTGACTCCGAACAAAAGATGAAGGTATTTCAGCGCATGTATAGTCAATGAAATGTACACACAGCAGGACATATTTCAGCATGTTTTTGGGTGAAGCTGAGCTTCCTTTGCAGTCTTAAAGCAATCACCACTGTTACAGATTAGTAAACCGAGGGAAGAGATTTACATTTTTTTTTCTCATACCCTGTCACCAGTACGACAGCCTCGGGCGAGGTGATTATATCATTGAGAATCAAGATATTCCGGTGATCAGTTGTGAGAATGAATATTTGCTCCATTAGACTGCAGCAGAAATGTGTGTGACAAAAGCTAATCAGAGTTGACCTTTTCCTGCTCTATTTTCATTTCCAAGCTGAAGCAAACTGGAAATAACAGCAATACGTAAACAATGATGATGAGGGCAGCTATGACTTGGCTTTATCCTCTGAAGATCTAGTATTTTTTGACGGGAAATTACTCATCTGTGCCTACAGTATCTGGCTGTATCTCTAAAATAAAATGGAGCAAATGAAGTCAATGGGCAAGTTTTTTTGAAGTTGATGCTCTCAAATAGGGGGACAACACAAGAATCCTGCTGCATCATTTGAACAAGTACCACTAAAAGGGATAATGAGGAAATGGAAAGAGCCAGCAGAGAACAGCCTGCATTTGTAGCCACGGCTAACTTAGCTGCACTGCCACCATACCACAGCAGCAATTATTCATTCATTCATTCATTTTCTGATTCGCTTTTATCCTCACAAGGGTCGCGGGGGGTGCTGGAGCCAATCCCAGCAGTCTTCGGGCAGTAGGCGGGCGACACCCTGAACCGGTTGCCAGCCAATCGCAGGGCACATAGAAACAAACAACCATTCGCGCTGATACTCACACCAAGGGACAATTTGGAGTGTTCAATCGGCCCGCCATGTGGGAGGAAACCGTAGGACCTGGTAAAACCCATGCAAGCATGGGGAGAACATGCAAACTCCACACAGGAAGGCCGGAGCTGGAATTGAACCTAAGCACTGTGAAGTCGACGTGCTAACCACTCGACTACCGGGCGGCCCCATCAGCAATCAATTGTGTCATATTTTGATTACCGCATTTTCCGCACTATAAGGCGCACTGAAAAGTCTTCCATTTTCTTAAAAGCTTACTGCGCGTCTTAAAATCCGGTGCGCCTTGTGTATGGTCATTACGGTAATATGTCGACCCCCAAGAGGGCTCCTTGCTTACAATGTTATAACTTGCTGTTGCTTTAATAAATACGTTTTTGTTGCAGCTCTGAAAAAAGGAGAGCGGTGGTGTTGTTTTTTTAAAATGCACACTTTATTAATGGTTTTCACAGTCTCAACAAATACAGGTAGTCTTTGTCTGTCTCCGTGCCTTCTCTTCTTCCGTTCGACTCGAGGAGTTCATGACCGCCTCGGAAAAACGTAAATTAACTATTCCTTCAATGAAACTATGAAAATTGAAAATAATGCATCAAAACAGAAAATCAAGTGAGGAAATCACAAAATAAATTCTATAGCCCCACTACAGAATATATTTGGTGATTTCCTCGTTTTTGAATACAGTACACAACAAAGGAATAAATAACAAACACTTTTGACACAGTCCAGTCTCCTCCAATTTAACTCAACTCAACTGTATTTATAGAGCACTTTCAAACAGCCATTGCTGCATACAAAGTGCTGTACATGGAGCAACTAACATATATAAAAAAATAATAATAATAATAATAATAATCAGTAACTGTTAGAGGAATCTATGAGCAAAATTGTATCATGTTTAAAGTTTCATTTAATTTGGGCACATCTAAACGGTTGGGTGCGTATCCAGCACCCCCAAATGCCTGTGCACAAAGGCGCCGGCCACCTGGCCGGAGGGCTGTTGAAGTCCACAATTAGCACGTCAATGCAGGTGGGCAATCACAGGGGAGAGGGCGAAACTCGGTCACAAAAGGGGAATGAATAATTTGGGAACAGCGGTTGAACAACAAAAGACGAGTTGAGAACACCCGTCGCGCCCAGGCGACATTTGTCGTCCGCGAAGTCTGCAACATGTTGATACAGTGTAGACCAGACAGAAAGGCGCCAATGTACCGGTGGTTCAAAGCTTAAACTCAGGTAACCAATCACTACCGAGGGGCCGGACCGGGGGTGCGGTATGCAAATGTCGGGGGCAGTGTTTTCCTTGTATGTTACAATAAAAGTCGGAATTGGCGGGAAGGGAGCTCGAGAGTGTGATCATCGGAGCAACTACCGTCGTTCGCTCTCAGAGATCCCCTCCCGCCGATATTGAAGACAATTTTCCTGTGCGCCGAGTCATTTTTTTAACTTTGTCCGAGAAAATCTCTGACAGTAACAAAGATGGTAGTAGCCACCAAACAGTAAAACTAAGATCAAATTTACTGACATCTGATCGTTCTGTGCAGCTACGCTCAAGGAAATGCCAAAATAAATTACGTCAGGGGGCTATAGAATTTATTTTGTGATTTTATGTTTTGATGCATTACTGTATTTTCAATTTTTGTAGTTTCATTGAAGTAATCGTTAATTTATGTTTTTTGGAGGCGGTCATGAACGCCTCTGAGTCTAAGGAAGAAGAGAAGGCACGGAGAGGACAAAGACGTACCTGTAGCTTCATCAGTGGAAGGATTGTATATTGCGCCTTATAGTCCAGTGCGTGCAATATATGAAAAAAATTAAAATATAGGCCATTCATTGAAGGTGCGTCTCATATCCAGTGCGCCTTTTAGTGCGGAAAATACGGTAAGCACATTGGCAAGTAGCAATAATTTTATTGTAGGATCATAACTTATAAGTTCTAATTTGTACATTTCAAGGGGACCTTCATTACTTTCCTGGCTACAGTTGAGATACACTTGACCAAGGCACCATTGCAAACCTGCTTGTTCAAGAAGTGCAGCACTATTTGTGTGGCCCTTTCACTCTGACATCTCTCCTTGCATCCTTGCATGTATGTGATGTGATTCTGCGTGGTCCATCAATCCATTTTCTCCCGCGGGGTCACGGGGATTCTGCGTGGTGTGCAACAGAACTATTGTATACAGCAGAGTGTGATTGAATTTCCCCCTTGAGGGATTATAATTAAGATAATACATAAACAAAAAATAATATCCATCCATCCATCCATCCATTTTCCGAACCGCTTGATCCTCACCAGGGTCGCGGGGGGTGATGGAGCCTATCCCAGCTGTCTTCGGGCAGTAGGCGGGGGACACCCTGAATCGCAGGGCACACAGAGACGAACAACCATCCACGCTCACATTCACACCTGGGGACAATTCAGAGTGTTCAATCAGCCTACCATGCATGTTTTTGGAATGTGGGAGGAAACCGGAGTACCCGGAGAAAACCCACGCAGGCCCGGGGAGAAGATGCAAACTCCACACAGGGAGGCCGGAGCTGGAATCGAATCCGGTACCTCTGAACTGTGAAGTCGATGTGCTAACCACTGGACTACCGGGCCGCCCAAAAAATAATAATAATAATAAATTGCTTTTTTCTCTTGATGGCCATGGAGAACCTGTACGCTATCCCTATTGACTCGCAATGAAAGGCTACACTGTGGGCTGACAAAACACAAGAAATCTGACCAGTGGACCAGTAGACAAAAATAGACATGGACTGAATTATATTTACCACAGTTAGCACCCTACTTACAGTTTACAAACGTGCATCAGAAAAAGGCAAGTGTGTTGTTTATTTCTAAAATGGCACTTTTCTTTTATCTTTCTATCATCTTTTCTCTGTCTCCCATACACAGGCTTGAGGGAGAGTAGCTATTATGGGTACTCCAGTTGAATAGTCAATAATAGCGGGGCCTGATGGGAGAGTGCAATATGCTTTCCCTTGACATAATATTTGGAAAAACAATGAGAGCAACCCAGATGTAGAATTCCAATTAGTATGAAATGTGCAACTGTTGAGATTAGAGTGCATCTTAGTTGGAAGGGGGAGGGTGGCAAAAGAGAGGGTTCACCTCGCTGATTACTAGCACAAGTGTTGGGTTGCGATAAAGATATGTGCCTGAGAATGTGTTTCAGGAAAGTTGGGAGAAGGTTGAATAAGGCATCAGGGGGACGTATGTGAGCACTACAATATGCAACCCCCCCCGCCCCCCCCCAAAAAAAACAACACACACACACACACACACACGCGCGCGCGAGCGTGCGCGGACACGTAGAAAAAAAGTGGTGTCTGCCGGTCTGTCCGCCAAGGGATTTATTTGGGATTATTATATTTATTCCCAAAATAGGGTTGCCTCTCTTAAACAATGCACGCGAATACAGAAAGATGAGGTGCTCTATCTCTCTGTCACACATAGACACACTCTTTCATAAATGTGTGTGTGTGTGTGTGTGTGTGTGTGTGTGTGTGTGTGTGTGTGTGTGTGTGTGTGTGTGTGTGTAAGCGTAGGGATAGTCTTGTTTTTTGCAGAGAGAATTGTACAATACGTGATCAGCAACCACTCATCTTTAGTTCAGGGACCACGTGACCCTCGTATCAGCGATTCAGATAATGAATGGATGGCTTTTCATGCAGCCACTAGAAAGTTTAAACATGGGCAGCGAGGAGGCTTGTCGAATGTTCAGTGGGAGGTCATTCCAGAGAGATGGACCAGCAACAGAAAAGGCTCGATCCCCTCTGAGCCTCAGTTTAGTTCTTGGTACTTTTAATAATGTCTGGTCTGCAGACCTGAGGCGCCGGGCAGGTGTGTAGGGGCGGATGAGCTCAGAGACGTAAGGTGGCGCAAGGTCATTTAGAGATTACTGGCATCCCATTGGCTAAGAGGGACCTCTACTGAATGTGTCTATGAGTGTAGATTGATAAATAGATATATATGTGTCATGGGGCCATGAGATGCTCCGATAGTTTTACGTAAATGTGAATCACCCTGAAAAAGTGTTTTGACCAGTCGGGCAATCGCTCAATTCGTTGATGTTTGCCTTGAACGTTTTCGAAGGATTGTTAAAAGCCGACAAAAGCAAACGTCCTTGGATCAGTTCTTCACAAAAGACCAAGCAAAAACCACTTCTGAGAGAGAGAACATGAACTAAAGAGGGCAAAAAACAATGAGATTAAAAATTCAATGACCATTATTTTTATTCTTTATTCTTTTTTTTTTTACATTCTGCACAACTCTCATTTATTGTGCAATAATCTGATTGTAACACATATTTGTTACATATTTTGATGCATTTTTATGCTTTAGGAAACATTTATGTCTGAATTTGGGGGTGCTTGGAACGACTTAGGGCATTTACATGGAGAATGCATCTCGACTTACAAAATTATCTTGTGAAGAACTTTCTGCCCGAACCAATTAATTTCATAAGCAGAGGTACCACTGAATATGAAAACCATAATTGACCACCCCACCCACCCTTTATCTACCAATGAACTGAAGTGTACACAGCCCTGCTCACATTTCAACGTTCTATCGAATCGTTTTCCTTTTTAATGCAAATATTCTGTTGCGCATGTAGTATTTGATGAAAACCTACGGAAGCACAGGAGAACATGCAAACTCGACACAGGAAGGCCTGAGCTGGAATTGAACCTCTGCACTGTGAAGTCGATGCGCTGACTACCGGGCCGCCCACTTTAACTTCAGTCAATATAAATAAATTTTTGCCAGGTTTTTTTGTTTACTGTTTCTGATGTTTTTGTTGTCCCATGTGGTTGGGAAAGAAGTGGCGTCCACGTTGTCAAACTGGGTCGAAGCAGAAATGTTTTCCAGGGTTGAGACAAAACTGTCTTCCCTGTTGTTGAAGGTGGTTGAAGCAGAGGTGCCTTCTGTGTTGTCCAAGGTGGATGATGCACATGCATGGCTTGGGTTCCCAGAAGTCTCAGAGCTTGAGCCTTTGAAAAATAATCCTGAAATAGTTGAATGTGGCTTTTCATCATTTCCTTCTTATATGTTCCAAATCCTCTTCTGATTTCGCTATTTTCTTTCGGCTGTCTAGACATAATGAGTTTTAAACCTGTCCATCTTCCATGTTTCCAGATCTTTCAACACCATTTTACATTTTACATACAGGATTGGATTACCTTGTCCTTTGAGCTGAAAAGCAATTTATGTTTTGCTGGTTCCTTGCCTTTTGCAAGTGTTTTTGGTTTGTCTCATTTTGTTCTGATTCTTTGTCACCAGCGTCATTTGTTGTACGTTGCCGGTCCTGTTTTTTTTGGGGTTTTTTTTGTCTTGTAAATAAACCTTTTTGTTCAAAGATCTTATCCCTGTCTATGTTTGTGGGATCCACCGTGATCCGGATTATTCCGGAAACCTCACAGCTTCTTCACACTGCCTTTTGTACTAATGCACCCTTCATATGGTGTCTCACAAGAATGTACAGGTTGTATGATTTGGTTGAAAAAAATAATGCAATCCAAATTGTATTGAACTGGTATTTTGTGTTTAAGGAATTGTTTTTTTATTTATTGACATTAATGGTCCAACTGTCTATTCGTAATTACTTTGAAACAATGGCAAAATAAAGTCTACAAAATACAATGTATAAAAATGTTTATTTACTGTTGAACTTCATAATATACCATTATTTTTTAGGTCTCCTGTGTCTGGGAAAGTTTGTTACTGGCTGGACAGCCTCGAATTTTTTTCAGGAGGTACTCCACCTCACTCTACGGCAACACACATTCCAACATTCATATACAATGTATATGAATGTTGGAATGTATATTATACATACTACAGCCAAATCAAGAGGTCTATTTTGGCTTCCCTTTCTTTTGTACCTAACAGACAGGTCAGCTCCATTTCTGGTCCACAGACTGCAAATATGTCAAATAAATTAAATTGCACACCCAATGCCCATCACAATTATGGCTGGCACAATAACTAAATTAACAATTCAAGTCAATAATTGGAAATGCGGCTTGTCTGGACCTGCAGGCGTCCCTGGAGGGTGGTCTGATATGTGGAGGCACGTCACACCGCTAATTCCGAAGCTAATTACTGATGCATATTTGAATTAAGTTGTTTGTCTCCCAACTACCATTTAATTTTACTGCAAGGAACACAGGACCATGGTGAGGAAGTCCAATCATCAACCGCAGGAATCAACTCTGCTCCGATTTTATTTTCTCAAAGTGCAAGGCGGATCTCCATTCACTTAGTTTGCTTGGAATTGAATCAATACACGGACAGAAATCAAATCTGACCTTTCATTGACAGTATCTGATGGGGTTCCACATGTGAAAATCACATTCTTTTGTGGTGTCTGGATAACGTTGGCCCTCCAAGATTATTTAGTTATATATATATATATATATATATATATACACATACATATATATATATATATACACATACATATATATATATATATTAGTGCTGTCAGTTAAACACGTTATTATCGCCGTTAATTTAAATCAATTTTAACATGATTAAATATTTTATCGTGAGATTAATGCGGCATCACGTCACAGCGGACGTTACGTTACGTTGCTCTATAAATAAACCAGAAACAAAACAACAAGCGCCTCGCCCATGTCTGTTTGGCCAGCCACGGCAGCGCGAGACATCGAAAACGGATACTTAAAGAATGTTCGAATGGAAAGTTTATTTTTAAAAAGTTGCCAGATGGTTCTACTGACAAGACCAAAATTACCTGTA